AAAAAAAAAAAAAAAAAAAAGATAAGGTCTCACTCTGTCTCCCAGTCTGGTGTGCAATGGTACAATCATAGTTCACTGCAGTCTCGAACTCTTGGGCTCAACCAATCCTCCTGCTTTAGCCTCCCAAGTAACTGGGACTACAGGCATGTACCACCACGCTCAGCTAATTATTTTTATTTTTTATAGAAATATAAAAATAAATTTTTTATTTTTATATTTCTATAAAAAACAACTTTGTTGTCCAGGCTGGTCTCAAACTCCTGGCCTCAAGTAATCCTCCTACCTCAGCCTCCTGAAGTGCTGGGACTACAGGCGCAAGCCACCATGCCCTGTCAACTTTCTGATTTCTGGCAGTTGATGATGGTTTACTCCAATTTCCATTTCTCCACCCCTTTCAATGGTTTTATAAGTACCTGATTCCTATATTAAATCCCTTCCTGCTTATAATACCCAGAGGGAACGTGGTATTCCTGCCTCATACAGTTGCCTCTGGATCTCGCACCAGAGGGAGGAAGGGTTCTCATGGGGAGGTAATTCCCTGAAGAAAGATTTCCAAACACTGTTCATTATTTGGTACCAAAAAGGCAAACAGAAGCTGACGTGGGTGATGAGTAACTCCCAGCCACTAAACACATGTTGGTCTATGAGTCCTGAGATGCTGAAGAGGGTGCCAGTTCCCGGACCAGAAATGTCCTCCCATCCACCTCACTGGAGCCATTTCTCTGAGGAGGCCCTGGCCAGGCAACAGACACACGGAGCAGAGACGGCATCTGATGGCGGAGAAGAGATGACTGCAGTACTGGCTCAGTCCTCAGAGGCCACCCGGCATTAGCCAGGGATACAGAAACATCTGGTCATCCTCCTGGCACAAGGGAGTGGGTTCTCTGCTGCCAGGCCTCCTGGAGTCGAGGCAGGAGGGTCAGCAACAGAGAGTCCAGCACAGCCAGACCCTCCCAGGAACACCGAAGACCCCTGGAAAACAAAGAGGCCTGAAGGTGATTACTTCCTCTTACCAACTTCAAGCCTGTGACCCCGCAGGACCGAGCCCCAGCACCCACAGGCCCCTTCTCACCAGTCTTTCTCACTCCTCCTGGGTCTGTGGCACTGTAGATGGGACTCTCTGGGATGCCTAAGCCCCTCTGCCCACAGCCCCCAACAGACCTGTGATCCAGCAGCAGGAGACCCCGCTTCAGAAGCTCCTCCACTTCCTTGCTCGCTCCAAACACGTCCCACAGGGTCAGGTGAGGCTCAAACTCCTGCCAGTGCTGGGAAAGCCAGAAGGGTCAAAGGTGGGAAGGGCACGGATAGTCTAGCTGAGCACGGGATGCTCAGAAACCCCAGAACCAGGCCAACGGGCCAGCAGAGAGGGGAGTTCCTCCCACTCCACATTCAGGCTGAAACCCAGCTCCCAGACACGCCAGGCCTTCCTCTACTCCTCCCTTCTGCCCCCACCCCGCGGTCAGCCCCCGTCAGAGCTTTGTAGCCCTGATTTCACCCAGAGCAGCTCTGAGAGTGAGTGATCATTATCTACTATGCTTCCTATGGGGTTTCAGTGCAGACTGAAAACATTTGGAAACCCTTTATTAAGTCTATTCCTCCACACATCAGAGAAGACTGAGGTTTGGAGAGGTGAAGAGATCTGTGCCCAAGGTTGCAGAAGAACAGGGACTAGAGCCTGGGTCTCTGCAGCCTGATCTAGGGGTCTAAGTGCCACACTGCCCACTGTTTCTGCCCATCAGAGAGAGAGAGAGAGAGAGAGAGAGAAAGAGAGAGAGAGAGAGAGAAAACAAGCACTTGATTCTGTAAGGCTTAGCAGGGAACAGGGCACAAGAACCCTTGGCTCCTTACCTGGTGAGTGATCCCCACATCAGTGCGTAGTCCCATGGCCAAAACTTCCTCTAGCCTGAAAGAAAAGTTATCAAGAGGTCTTGGAGGGGAGACTTGGCCTCTCCTATTTTTCTTTTCTTTTTTTTTCGAGTTGGAGTCTCACTCTGTCGCCCAGACTAGAGTGCAGTGGCCGTTCCCGGCCACCACAGCCTCCACCTGCGGGGCTCCAGCGATCCTTCCGCCTCAGCCTTCCAAGTTGCTGGAACTACAGGCGTGCGCTACCACGCCCGGATAATTTTTTTTTGATTTATTGTAGAGATGAGGTCTCACCAAGTTGCCCAGGCGGTTCTCGAACCCGCGGGCTCAGGCAATCCGCTCACCTCAGCCTCTCAAGGTGCGGGATTACAGGCTGAGCCACCAAGCCCGGCTCTCTTAGATTTTTCAAACCACCCTGGGACATATTTGTGGGGCTAACAGGGATGGTATGTGGCAGGGCAGGGGTGGGGCAAGGCAGGTCTAAGGATGAACCATGGAGGGGATTCCGGGGACCCCGGGTGGAGAGCTCTGTGACCCGGATGCTCACAGCTCCAACTCGCCCAGGGGGATGCGCTTCCGGGTGCCGTGACCAAATCGCACCACCTCCTTCATCCAGTTGTCAGGCTCCAGGGTCTGGATGCGAGCCTCCCGGGTGTGGCCTCCGGCCCCCTGGAGCATGAATTGCCCATGGGCCCCTGGCAACATCAACACCCACCCTACATTAACAACACCAGCCAGCACTGTGTGCTTACCAGATTTAAATCTGTGTTTCTCCAAGTGTGGTCCCTGGATCACTGCATCTAGCATGCTATGAATGTAAATGTGAGTTTCTTTTTTTTAACCATCTAGCCCAAAATGTCAAGGAATGTAAATTCTTGGGCCCTACTCCAGCCCTGTCCAATTGGAAATTCTGGAGGTGGGACCCAGCAGTGTGGGTTTTAACAAGTCCTCTAGAGGATTCTGACACATGCTAAGGATTGAGCACTACAGTGCCAGGCGCTATATCAAGCATCTTAACATTCACGCTCAACGGGTCTAAGAGATAGGTATTATTTTTTGCTGCATTTTACATAAGAGGCAATAGAGGATGGGAGAGGTTAAATCAGTGGCCTAAGTTCACACAGCCCAGACATTCCTCTCCTGAGTCATCCCTTCTGTGGTTCACAGGGGACTCACCGGGCCCAACGCCAAGGTACTGGCCACACTGCCAGTAAGTCCAATTGTGGGTACTGAGCGCCCCCTGCGGGGAGACAGGAAACAGTGCCGAAAGAGGGTGAGCCCAGGTAAGGGGCACCTGGTGAGAAAATCCCACCACCCCAGGCAGGAGAGCTCCCAGCAGGGACTCTTCTTCTCTTCTTAGGGCCACAACACCCTGGCCACACCACCAACGGCCCTTCCTCTACCTCCGGCCAGCAGCCCCAGGACTTACATTCCGGGCGAAGTTAGAGACCTCGTACTGGCGGAAGCCAGCCTCCCGCAGGACTGCCCGACCCCGCTGGTACATCTCAGCGGCGAGCTCCGGGTCGGGCGCAGGGAGGGCACCCCGCTGCACCTGGGCGAAGAGCGTGGTGCCCCGCTCCAGGGACAGCTGGTAGAGGGACAGGTGGTCGTCACAGTGGTGCAGCAGTTCCCGCAGCTGTCCAAGCCACGGCTCCACCTGCTGCGCCGGCAGCCCCAGCATCAAGTCCACAGACACGCGCCCGGGAAAGAGGCGCCGGGCCTCCGCCAGCATCCGCAGAGCCTCGCTGGCCGAGTGCGTCCGCCCCAGTAGCCGGAGCTCGGTGTCGTCCAGGGACTGGGGAGAGAGGGTCGGGTGTAAGCACACGGGCCGGCTCAGAGAGGGACAGGATTGCTCCACCTTCCCATAGGCACGGCATGGGGACAATGTAGCACTTGGCAGGCAGTTGGAAGCTGCCAGGGCATGGTGAAGCCAGTACCAAGAGCTACTACTCACCAGGACTGCTATGTGTCTGGCATGATTACACAGTGTCCAACTTAATCCTCGTAACCCTCCAATATTAGCTGCATTTTGCAGATGGGAAGGCTGAGGTTCAGAGGTGCTAAGTAACTTACCCAAGGCCATACAGTTGCAAAGTTAGACCTAGAATTGAATTTAGCATCCGCATTCAAAGCCAGCTGTATTCTTTTACTCTACTGTTTATTTAAAATGATTCTCAGCCGGGCTCGGTGGCTCAGCCTGTAATCCTGCGCTTTGGGAGGCCGAGGTGAGTGAATTGCTTGAGCCCGCGGGTTCGAGACCCGCCTGG